TTAGAAGGCATTACATTATGTGACATCTTCAGCATGGCAGGGAAGTCTCTATGAGATTATACTGCAGGGAGATTAAATCAACGTCTGGCTGTCGAGTTTCTCTAGAGAAACAGATGTGGCATTTTAGCCATGACCCCAGGACTCCACTGTCCATCGCTCCTAGAACAATAGGCCCCAAAATCAGCCATAACTAACTACACTGAAAACCAAACAAGGCGAGCAAGTCTTCTCATATCTATCTTGAAGGATGGACCTGAAACACCTCTAGGTGCACGGTTTTTAAACTGATAAACAGCTTTGAATTTTCAAAGACACATTATTGATTTGTAAAAGTATTTGCTCTTTGAGTGCTGCATCATAAGTATAAAAGAGAAAATGAATCACGGATTAATATTTTACCGTAAGGGGTAAGAACAGATATTTCCATTCACAAAGAACATCCAACAAAACATCAGGTCTAAAGGTGATCAAATCTGTGCTGTAGGAAACACATATATAACCTGACTGGAGAGAGAACCAGGACTGTTCTTCAAACAGACACTGGAACAGATGAATACATGTGCAAAGTACAAGTGATTATGAGAGCAAGAGAGTAGGAGGAGGTGGAGAGAAGTCTACACGCCAAAAGACATTTGTACCCTATCTACAAAAGCAGACTGCATGGTCACCCTCCGAAACTGTTCTACTTCTCATACCTCATACATTTAGTATTTATTATACAGTTACATGACAGAAGACTCAGCAACTGCAGACATTAATAAAACAGCACTTGGAGGAAAGACAGAAGCAGTCAACAATGTGGAAGAAAACTGCAGAGGTCTCATGTCAAAATTACAATTAATTACTTGAGGCAGCCCAGGGAGCTCTGCTCCTAATCATGGGAGAATTATTGCTCGAAAATAAAGTGTAAGCATCAAGAGAACGAGACACAGAGCCATAGAACAGTACGGGTTGGAAGGGACCTTCAAAGGTCAGCTAGTCCAACCCACCATACTGCATCTGAGATGCTTTAAAACTTTACCCAGCCACCTCCACCATAAAAGTGAGATAAGGGGAGTCTCTAAGGCGAAGATGCAGCCAGTCCCAGGCTGGGCTGGGTTCTGCCCAGGCACACTGTGCTTGCACGGCCAGTGGGGACCTGCTCATGCCTGAGCTCATGCCTGAGCTCTCCTCTGCTCCATACTCATGTTTCCCCACCTGGAAATAGCTTGTTCAAGCCAGCCTGCAAGCCAAGGCAGCGTGAGCTGACCAAGTCTGACCTTGAATACAAGCTGCAGGCACTGGTTAGAGACATTTACGTTAACAGCCCTGAGTGACATGCAAACAGATATACACACTATTAACAATTAATGCAGTACAGGGCAGTGGTGCTGTGATCCATTTTTAAGTTCAATATTCCTAACAGTACACAAAAAAATAAGGAAGCTACAAATTATCCATACAGAAGAAAAGCGTTTCACTCAGCACAAAGTAGTACTTCAATGTAAAAATGCACAAACTACATTTACAAACCAAACTCTGGTAAGCATCTCAGTTGGCAGTGACACTGCAAGTAGAAAACATAAAAATACTTACTCATTTTCTGATCAGCATAATCATTCATACAAGCTCCACTGTTAGATATTTACAACATTTAACTTCTGATGGTAACTCTGAACATACCTACTACAGTTTGAAGGAACCTGATCTCACTAATTTAAGCTACTCTCTCCTTACATCCTGCCTACAACCTCTAGCTACCTATAAAACACACCTGAGAAGTGTGTGATCCACCTCTTTTGCCTTTTATCAACAGTTTGGAGCATCGTGGTAAGATCAACTACATCCCCAGTTTGAAACCAAAGACTAAACTGTGATTTGCAAAATGGTAAGTAAGCAAGACCAGCTTTTCTGTAGCTTTCGACCTCCTGCACCGCTCACCAAAAGGCTCAACTGCTACAACCACCTGGCTCTAAATCCATCCTGAAGTTTATGGCCTCTGAATCCACTTATTCTGACATACAAGCACTCTAAATCTTTATCCCCACCACAGAACAGGAAAGCAATCTTGTAACAGCCACCTGAACTGATTCATTCTGGGATTTTTACAGTCTCCTAATCAGCACATACCAGTATGTAACCAAACTGAAGCACGCCAATGCCAGCAGACCTACAGTTCAACCTAGCAGGTTTTATTCTAGAGGACAGCATACATGTTGTTCTCCTCCACAGCATCTCATGTCTTCTTAATGAGCAGCCAGGCTACTGAAACACACATAAAAACCTGCTGTTCTTTGAAGCACTTCAGACAGCAGGATACTGGTACATTTCGATACTCTCTCTGCACAGATCAGAGCAAAGCAAAGTGGAAAAAGCACATTACAGATATTCAGACAAACCAGGCACCTTTCATTTTCTATTAGCAAGATCCCAAGAGACAACTTAGCGCTCTGCAAATACGGCATTGGAAGAGCTGAAAGTTGCTTCCTGAGTACAAGTCATTAAATAAAGATTTTAGAGTAACTTATATTTCTTTAGACCAGGCAAAACCAATAGCCATTTCCCCATCCTACATACAAGACCTAAAAAAAGCAAGATCATCATGAATATCATAACTCCCCTGTAATGTATTTCTCCTAAATCAGATTATCATTTAATGATTCCTCTCTCTCAAAAAACAGCACTCGAGCACAAAAACAAAACACCAATTTCTGTATCAAGCAAAGACTATCAGCATTATTATGAAGTAACAAATTAGGCCTTTTGGCATCTCACAGCAGTGCTCCAAGATTTGAGGCTTCTTAAAAGCTCCAAGTTTTAAAGCAATCAAATAGCTGACAGCTGGAACAAAATTAGCATGATTAACCAGTTATGTAAATAATGCTGCAGTCACTACAAGCTGAATTCATTTATGCTCATCGCATTACATAGCACTGCTTGCACTGGACATCAGATGTTTGTCAACTAGTCATTAAAAGTGACTGTAAGAATAATGGATGTGAAAACAACGCGAGTGTTACATCCACTATGTGATGTGCATCTGAGACCAGGCTACCTGATAGCCAGGTCTGGCTGTCTCTATATCCTCTATTAGGACAGGACCCTCAGGTAACTTGCAGATCAGACTTCTCTGGCCCGAGTATTCTCCAACGCTACTTCGCTCCTACCTAGGGAACAGGTCAATTACTTCTGCTAAAGAGAGAGGTCCAGCCTGTAGAAGGCAGATATTCATCTTCATTCATCAATACAAGGCACCACGCAGGAGAACCATCATCATTCCTGGGTGATGTCACATAGTTACTTTATGGCATCAAGGAAGTTATGATCAGCACCCAAAAGTCAAACTTCCCGATGTGTAACTTGGAGTCAATTCAGCCTTATCAGAATTTGTCTTCAGGAATGCATACTCATGGTTCATTTGTACTTGATAATTTTTGATAACACAGTTAAATATTTAATATTTGGAAGATTATCTTTGCAATTCTAGCTGGCGAGCTTACCATTGCTTTGAGTTTATAAAAGAAAATGTATCAAAAAGCTTTAATTCTTCATAACAGAACACTACACATAAGTTTGTTTGAAAATAATGGATCCAAGAATCAGCCAAGACAAACATATTTAGAAGTGCTTCCTAAATAGGCTGTATTTTGCTAAAGGTATTACAATATACTTACATTTCTAATAAAAAACCATCCTAACATCCCACATTTTACATCCTAACAATCCAATTTTCCATGACCTTGTCTCACACAAAACACAGTAACACACTGGAATTATGCAAGAGTTCCATATTACCATAAACCACGTCTTTCAGTGGCGAGAATAATCAAACTTAATCTTGTGGCCTGATTTGCATTTTGAACTCCTAAAGTCAGCCTCCACAGTCCACAGCATCCGCAACACACCTCAATGATCCGAGCAAGTATTTCAGGCCTCCTGTTGAAAATGTGTACGCATGTATAATCCAGGGTGTTTTCTCAGCAGATTAAGAGAAAGAAACGGGTCCAATACATTTAAATGTTAAATATAACTTTGCTTTTCACATTGGTGATGATACCACACTTCATAAGGGAGAAGCATTATATACCCCTGGGCCAACCCAAACTGAGACCCAACGTTACCAATATGCCATAAAGCTTTAAAATGGGAAACTTCCATTCTAGATAGCCTGTGATAATTCTTGTCTCAGTATAGTTCCCAGCAACAATAATGCTTAATGTAATGCAGCACACTGATTCTCCAAGACCTATCTGTAGCATCAAAGGCACTGCAGGTAAAGACTGAAATAAAATATATACAGACATAAAATAAAGCATTAAAAATGACTAAAAGCACTACCACACACCCTCCAAACCGACTCGACGACTGAAAATAATACAATAACACAAACAGAGCCATAATTAAGGTTAATAACGCCAAGGCCTGGGGACAACAAGACGAACCAGACCACCACCGCCATCCCCGCCCCGGCCCGCCGCTGGTCCCCCCCATCCACCGGAGCAGGCCGCCGCCATCCCCGCAGCCCCGGCGGCTTCAGGCCGGCCTCATCGGCTTCCCTGGGAAGCCAGGCCCAAACTTGGGGCCGGAGGCTGGCGGCCAAAACCCTTCCGGCCCTGAGGCGAAGGGCCGTGGCCATCGTGTCCGTGTGTGTGTGTGCCCCCCCCCCCATCCCTTCGCCCCGCCGCCGCCGGCAGCACCGGGCCGCGGAGTCGCGCCCCCCGCTCCACAGCCCCGCCGCCGGGCTGCCACGATGGGCAGTAACTCGCTGCCCACCCAACGGCGACAACAAAGGACACCCCGGACCCCCGCCGGGGCTGCCCCCCCCACCCCACCGGCCCCACGACCCACCGGCCTCCGGCCCCGCTCCGTGCCCGAGGCGAGCCCCGGGGGGGCCCCTTCCCGCGCCCACCCCGCACCCCGCTGCTGAGGGGAAAGGCGGGGGGAGGCTCTTCCGCCGCCGCCGTCCGGTCCGTTCGCGATCCCCGTCCCGCACCCGAGCTCCCCGCGGCTCCCGGCCTGACCTGGCGCTGCGTGCGGGAGGAGCGGGGAGGGGCCCGCGGGACACGCGGAAGGGGGGGTCCCGGTTCCCGGCCGCCGCCGCCGCCGCTGGCTGCGTTTGACACCCACACGCACCATCCAACATGGCGGCGGCCGGGGGGAGGTGGCGGAGGAGGCGGAACCGGCGGCCGCGCGCGGCCCCGAGGCGCGGCCCCGGCCCAGGCGCGGCGAGGGAAGGAACGGAGCGAGGCGGCGGCCTCAGCCCGGGCAGCGCTGCACGGCCCGGCCCGGCCCGGCCCCTCCCTCCATCCCTCCTCACAGCCAGCGTGGTGGTGGGAGAGCGCCCGGCTCCTCCGCGGGGCCATTGCGGCTGCGAGGGAAGGGAATGGCTGTGGGGAGAGCATGGGCAGGAAAGGGGATCCCACCAAACATGGGCGGGTTGACGTGCACCAAAGTGGCTTCATACTGTGATTACAGCAGCATTCCCCTTTGCCAATAGGGAATAACAGCGTTTATGGATGGGGGAAGGCTTTGGGATGGGGGGGGGGGGAGCCAGGCATTGGAGCAAGCATCCTTTCCCGCTGGGGATAATGACTAAACCGGGCTGGCAGGTGGGAGGAGGTTGGTGGCCCCATTGCAGTTCCTCCTGGATGTATTTGTTCCCATCGTAAAAGCATGGGACAATAGAAGGAAACGGGGCGTCGCTGGTGGGAGATGGTCGGGGTTGGCGCGGGTCAGGGGAGAAGCTGGTGAGCAGGGCTCTGCTCCTGTTACAGCTGGCTCCGGGTAGCGCTGCCAGTGATTTAAACCCTAACTCCTAAGGAATCTTGCCTTACTAGAGCGTAACAGCACAAAGGAAACTCGGAGCAAAACCCCGGTTCATAAGGTGTTGCCTTTCAAGTGACAGACAGGTCAGGCTCAGCCCAGCCCTTTTCTCCCATGGAGAGATTGCCATGGAACTGGGGTTTCAATACAGAAGAACAGGGACTGCAGTAAAACACAGAGGAAACTGCATTAAAACCAACTTGTTTAGAAACGCTGCAAGTTGGAATGCTTCGGATGCCATCTGGTAGCTGGGAAGGCGAGGGTTCTGGGTTAAGCTGCGATGCTGGCTGAGCTTTAACCTTGAGCGAGGCAGAAATAAGTCTGGGTGGAATAATATAAAGGATCTGCAGGAGCTGAGAGATACTTCCCTCTTCCCGAGAAGAAAACAGCAGCGATGGAAACCTAATGTTTCTGTGCACGTTCATTAATCCTAATGATTAGGTGCTGACAGCTCTAAAGAACAAGAAGAAAACTCTCGGTTAAAAGAAAATGGGAAATAGAAGATTGTTCCCACTGCTTTCTCTCCTGCCCACCTTCCTCCCAGGTCCAGACAGGCAACTCTCCAAAGCAGGAGGCGGCTTCCTCGCCATTCCCAGCTCCATCCCAGGTGTGTCTGTCTACACTGTATGAATGCACAAACCCAGCACAGAGCTGGCATGCCTCTGTCAACAAACTGTCTCCTCTATCAACCAGAGCAAGCCACTTCGTGCAAGCAAAACAAGCCAGCCAAGCAGAATGGCACTTTTTATTACACCCGTTAATGCCATCAATCACAGTTCCTGCTGCACTGGTAAAGGAACCCGATGGATGCAGCTGCACCAGGAGGGATGTACCCAGGCTGCAAAGGGATGATCCCTTTGGGTGGCTCCCTGAGGACATCCACAGTGAGAGGAAACTCGATCCCTTCAGGCGGTCTCCTGAGGGCATCCGCAGCGAGAGGGGAGTCCTCATTTTGTATTAACAACAGGAGGGTGTTGCTGTTTGCCCTTTGATTTCAAACCCAGGAGCTAGTGTAGAAAACGTCCCATGCCAGCACTGCCCCATCCCTCTCTCACACCACGCCCTGGATGTTGACTCCAGCTGCTCTATCAGATCATTCCCAGCCCACAACATTTCAGCTGTGTTGGCAGAGCCAGCGTTTAAGGCCATTATTTGCAACGTGAGTTTGGCATCAGCAGCCCATAGCTGTGGCATCTCCCTGGTAGCCACGCTGGCACCCGAGCAGTCCATGCGGAGAAAGCAGATGGTGGCAGCAAATCCAGTGAGCGGGAATGGAAGGGATAGGCATGGCGAGGAGGAGGAGGGTAAGGAGCAGTGCTGCAGGGCGATGTCAGGAAAGACAAGGGTTGTCCTCCCAGCTAACCTAGTGATGAGCGGCTGCCAGGAAGCCACGGGAGGGCCTGTTCCACAGCCATAACGTGAACTCACCCACGCAGCACCTACCGCCACGTGGGGCTGAGCACACCGCTAATGACCTAATGAGTTTGCTCCAAAGGTCTGGCTGCGGCGTGGGCGACAACAGGAAGAGCACTTGAGAAAAGCACCGAGCAATGACAAGTGCGTTTGTCTCTTCTCGCTGACCCCAGCCCCGCATTAACAAATAGGTCACAAAGAACGGTGCTGTGCAGGGATCTAATCCTCCGGCCATATGGCAGCTGACCGAAAACATAGAAGGGGAAAGAAAAAAAAGGCTGCGAGGGGGATGCCACAAAGCTCTGCAGAAATTCGAAGGAAAACTCGGTAAATATATCCCTTGCAGTCTGAAATTTGATTTCCTCACTCCATTGTTTCCCATTTCCTGAGAGCTGGCTCGGTGGATCCCATTTTCTGCTTCTGTCTCCAGTGCTTGTAACCAAACAAGACTGAATCTCGTTACCCTGTGCAATCCGATCTCTAAATCACGGTCCTTTTTGTTCCATTACTGATCTTCCTTCCCACTCCTAACCTACAGGGCTTCAGAAGGGATCAATTAAAAAAAGAGGCTAGCATCATCTAATGAAGGTGTGATTAATGTTCAGCACTTAAGTCTGTATTAAGTAGCCAAGTAAGAACCTGCCTCGTGTCTCAGGAGGCTGGGCGCCTTCCACTCACGCTGACTCCAGTGGGAGCTGGCATTTCCCAGCCACATGCTTCCATGTGGGGTAAACAGGGACTGAAATCCTTAACTGGCCCATAATGGAAATCCTCTAATTAAATGAGAAGCTGGGCAAATACAATCAGTATTGTCCTTAGAGCCAAAGCAGAGATGTTTCTCAACAAGCACAGGCCCTCTGTTGCTGACAGCGATACAGAATATATTCAGATTCATACAAAGTGATGTTCACCCCAGGTTATTCCCTTCTAGAGTCATGAATATTTCATGGAAATATGCAAAGTCTGAGTTGCAGTCTCGTCTGCTTTGATTAGACACATGGATCCACAGGGTCTGCAGCTCTAAGCACACACACAGGATTTGTCTACAAGCCAAGGAAGAAGCAAAACAGAAGTTTAGTTTATCCCATATTTAGCCTGGTTTCTTCAAACATCTTTAAGTGCAGTTACAAGGAACAAAATCAGAGGGTGAATGAGGGAGGGTGCAGCCCATTAAGCCTGTGCCTGAGTTCAGCTGGAATCGACCCAAGTTGAAGCAGAACAGAGCATGCTTACAGCCAGCGTGAGGGCTTTAGTTTCATTTGTGACGCAGACAAGCCCGCAGCGCTGTTTCCAACGCAAGCGCTCATTTTGACAGGTTCAAAATTAATACAGCCCTGAAATGGGCTTTCAAAATTAATACACCTCTAATATGGGCTTTCAAAAGAGACCTTTTCTGAACACGTTAGCAGATTCATGGAAAGAGGAGGGAGAATGCAAGCCCAGCACATTCTGGTTTTCTCAGAATGAATATGCCCTGACAGCGCGAGAGGCAGTGACGTTTGAAATGTGCTTCGTTCTAGTGATCACCGAGCGCTGTGTTTCTTTAGAAGTCAAAGCCACTCTCATCTGCGGGCACCTTCCCTCGTTCCTTTCTCCTTACTGCTCTGGAGGTGCAGTTTCTCCCCGTGCCGCATCGAAAAGCCAAGGCCACTGCGCTGCTTATATTAAATCCCACTAAAGCCTCAGGGTGAAATTCCACAACAGTTTTAATTGACCTAAGTCAGGGTGTTGTGGTTCCTGCCCTTCCTCCACTGCCCGTTCCCGTTCCCTCCCTACCACCAACACCAGCTTATACCATCTGTGGTGAAGACTAATCACTTCTTTTTTTGGGGGGGAGGGTTACTTCTCAGCCAGTTTAGCTCCCTAAACCAGCTCAGCAGAAGGTCAAATGATCACTCACGTCAGCAAAAAGGAGGGGATGGGACCACTGCAAGGCCCCACTGACTGGCAAGGAGGTGTTTTTTTTCTTGTTTAATAGGATACATCAGCACATTTAACCTAAACAGCCTGGATTTGCTGCTTGTTCCCAGGCTGGGAGCGCTCACCCATTGGGACTGTGTAGTTTGGAGTCACAAACTCAGGACCAGGTAGTCTGCAGTGAAGATGGGCTCATGTAAGTGTTACCATGTGGTTCCACAAAGCAAGTCACCAAGTTAGAGCCCGTAAGCCCATGCTGCAGGTCAAGGATTCCCTTGCGGTTGGCTCAGTTTGTGCTATCCCTCTTGACTTCCTCCATGCCATGATGAGAGGACTTGCTGTCAGGAAGGAGTTGGTGGAGGATGTCACCCATCAGAGTTCATCATTCCTGCAGCCACCCAAGGAATGTCACCCAAAGAGTCAGGCCCTCCCTTTCGCCCCAGGCCCATCCTCAGCTCAATAGATGCTTCATAACAGCCAAACCACACGATGACTTGTGCTGTTGCACAAGGATCGTGCACGGCCAGGAATGAGCCTCACTCCTCCCAGCTCTTTCTCACCGTGAGGGAAACCACACTGTGGAGCTCATGATGAGCAAAGTATCAGGATAGCAAGAGGAGCTGTGCTGCTGTCTCTGGAGCATCACCTGCAAACTGAGTCTCCTTTCTTTATGGTGGGCTGGGACAGTGATTTCGGCTGGTCCTATCTGGGTACAGAGGGAGGCAAAAGGCTTTTTGTCCACTAACAGAAGCAGGGGACACGAGAGATGTGAAGTGTACCTACAACCAAGCAGGCAACCAGGGGTCGCTGCTGTCAGAGGACATCATACACTCAAGTACCGTGAGGTCGAGCCCAGAGGAGGGACCTGAAGATGCTCTGAGGGCTGAAGCACTTCTATGGAGACAAGCTGAGAAAGCTGAGGTCCACAGGAGCTTTCTTCACGTGTGTTCTGCTCCCAGAGCACCCTGCATTAAAGCTACATCAGCTTCTAACCCTGGGGAATAGGCTGTGTACAACACAATTTT